TTATTGCTACGAGTATTACTAATACTTTAATTATAAATTTAATTTCCAAAGAAAATTGTATACAAAATTGTAGAAATTTAAGAAAATGTTATTTTCGAGTTAGTAAATAGAATATATACAGTAGTATCTTTATCTTTTATATTCCATTTTTAACAGTTTTAATCCAAATCGATATTTGTACAGAAATATACGCTTCATTCGGACTTAATATTTGTGTATGTCTTTCAAGAAGAAGATTTATATTTTAGTTTTTAATAAAACTATTTCGTATTGCAAATACCCAACACTCTTTAGTGGGTTAAGCCCGGCGATGTGGGCTCAAGTCTTTGGGTATTAAAGATTACCGATGGAGCGAGGATGAGGATGTGGGGATATGGGGAGCCCAGACAAAGTGCAAATATGTGTTGGCCGACCACAAAGCACACAGGCACAGGCACAGCACAGCACAACACACACATGGCCAGTTCCAGAGCCAGAGTCAAAGGGAATCCGGCTAAAAGCCAAAAGGAAGGAGGAGGAGGAGGAGGAGGATGAGGCGCATCGCATGGCTGAGTGGCGTGGCTCGCCTTACCTCGAGATGCCAAAGTGCATCAGGCACTAAAATGCAGAAAATTGAAACAGGCTTTTAATGAAATGAAAGCGCCGCGAGAGATGAGATGCCTGGATGGTTGGTTGGATGAATGCCGCAGTCTGGGTCTCGGTCTGGGTCTGGGTCTGGGTCTGGGCTATCGCTATCTCTGGCTGACTGGCGTCCAGCCAAATGGAGATGGGGCCGCCGCGTGAAGATGGTGGCAAACCAGAGCGAACAAAAACAAAACAGGTAGGCCAGGCCCATATATTCTGTGTTCCGACTAGAGAATGCCCACTGATCCGATGTGGGATCTCATTTGAATGGATAATGCTACTTATATTTCGCTGTTCTATAGAATCTATAGAATGTTTCCCATACAGACTATGCCCCATTGCATTGCTGGTAATACCATTTTTTGTCTACACGAACTATTCAATCGAATTTCATATCCCTTTCTCCCTGATATGAGTGGGCATCTGCCTTCTGTCAGTGCCATTCCATCCGTTCTGCTCTGTTTTCCATCAACGAACGAGAAAAAAGCAAAAAAATGAAGAACACAAAGAGTCAATTAATTAGTAGATGGATCCACGATTATCGCTATATTAACATTGCACTGCAGTTGCAAGCGGAATTGTAGTAGTTGTAGTAGTCGATCCTGGGGCTGGGGCTGCGAGTCGTGGTCGGAGAGTGGTCTTCCTTTTACTTAAGATAACGCCCAAAGGGGCAATGGAATCGGGCCGGCAGGCACACTGGAAGCTGGGGCGTTCATTAAATGATAAGCGTGCGACGGACAGCGGGGCAGCAGTGATAAGAGAGCATTTGAACTAGCCCGCTGAGCAGGTAAGAGAGCAACAGCAGGCAGGCAGCTGCCGGTTATAAATGATTTGCTCTCCCTTCCACTCCCATCACTCTGAGTCCATATGTGTTCGCTCTTCCAATTGAAATGCATTTGAGAGAGCCACACGCATACACGCACACACGCACCCAGAGAATTCCAGGAACTGGAAGGCGTCTGAGGGCAGGAAAAAGAGAGAGCCTGTGGACTACCCAATACCTTTTCCATTGGACCGACTTCATTGGTGTTTGCCATCGAAAGCAAAACGTTTTAACGTATTTAGAAACAGCGTTTCCTCCCCAGTGACATGGAGATTTCGTTCTTTTGCATGGCAAAATGTACCGACAGTAAATATCATCGGTATTTAGAAACTTGTTGGCCAGCTGGCCAGCCAAATTAGGCAGAAGAGGAGTGCAGGCGGGGCAGTCGATGAGGATGATGGCGAAACAAGGGAAACAGAAGCTGTAAAGAGAAATATGATTTAAATACACGCAATCCTCGAGGCGCCACAGCGGGCAGCACTCCGTAGTGTAGTCCCTGGTTCCAGTCTCCAGTCTCCAGTCGCAGAGTCTGGAAATTTATGATGCAATTTACTTGCAAAAACAGAGACACACGCACTGGAGCTGGAACTGGAAGTGGAACATCAGACAAATATAGTGGAATAAGTATTTTTTCTTCTCCCCCTCTCTCTCTCTCTCTCTCTCTCTTGCTGTTTTGGCAATGCAAATTATTGGCATCGATCAAATCGATTCCAATTTCAAGGCAATACACAGGAAAGGGGGAAAGGGTTCAGTAAATGACTAAATAATTATGCCTGGTGCAGTGCAAAAAAATTCTAGCAAATTACAACAGAGGCGGGTCAATTAGAAACAATTAAAATGTACAGACTTATCTATGCCTCTTTTATGTGTTGTTTCATATTAAGAATAGGATACGTTTATTTGACTCATTTACATACAGATACTACATATAGAAAATTGATGTCGGGGCACCCTTTGCCTGGGCCCTGCCAGTGCTGGTGGGGTAGTACTCCAGTGCACCACCTTCCTTGGGATGGAGACCGAATAGTGATCGATGGCAGTATCTTTCTCCATGTTCGGACGGTGGCCGACCCGGAGCATGCCGGGCAATCAGGCAAGATTTTAAAGATGATTTTTAATCTTAACATCCTGGACAGTCATCTGCACGGTCAAGTGCTAGTACTAGTTAGTGAAGTTAATGCTTTCAACTAGTACCAACGTAGTAATAAGTTTATTCAATATTAATTCAAATATATATTTGGCCGAGTATATTGGCACACCAAGTTTTAAATCTTGTTGGTCGGCGTAAAGCCGTCTACAGATTCTCTTTTTCTCGACAAGCGTTGCCCAAGATACGGCTATTGTATGGAAAGAGAATACTAATAGTAAATAGAGTGCAGATGACTGGACATGACTCATGTCAGGGTGTCCAGGGGCTCGGGTCGAGGAAGCAAACAAATGATGACTCAGGTTCAAAGATCACACAAAACTTTTAAGACTTTTTCCAGGTAAACGGAACCCCAAGCTCCCTATATAAAAAAAAAACAAAAAACAAAAAACAACCAAAAACGTAGATTTAGGAGTACAAAATGCAAAGAGTAAACCTTGCCTGGATTCTGGTTGAGGAACAAAAGAGATGAATATTCTGCGAAATATTCATTAAAGCATATTTGTAGAGGCTTGTAGAGATCTGAATATCCTTCCAGGGAGATCGTTCCTATCTCTATTTTTCCGATTTTCAAGCTGAAATACTAATCAGGAATACAATACGATTACATAACCCTCTTAGGGCTTCTTAGCAAAGTCGAAATACCCTTTTCAAGGGAATGCAAGAAGCAGGCTCCCGCTGCCGCCCTCCGCAGTTTGCCTCTCGCTGTCATCGTGTTGGCCGTGTCCAATGCGGCAAGCCATGGTCCATGGTGCATGGTGTATGATGCATCCTCCTTCTGTCTCTCGGTTTGTCTTTTGCGTTTTTGTGCGAAATTATCCATTATGAGGCCTAATGCGCACAGTTCCTGTGTCTTCCAGGGATGGATGATATATAATAAATGCTGGCTGCAATGAAGAGCCCGGCTCCGCATCGTAAAAATTTAGAGAGGGGCGGGGTAAAGTTGCAAGTGAAGGGGCAGGGCAGGGCAGGGCGACACGGTGGCAGTGGAAAGTCATTCAAGAATTTTCCCCCAGCATGGGAAAAACTGTGCGACAACAACAACTCAATTGCCACAAATTGCTCCAAATATGGCCGGAAGACCGAGGACCATAAAATACACTCACAGAAAACTCTTTGTAGTAGTATTTTTATGGTTCTCTTGAAACTCCACAGTAAATATCTATGAAGTACTTTTTCAAATACAATTTGTTTTAAAAGAATTTTGTTGTTTTTAGAAATTATTTTTTTTCTTTCTTTGATCAAACACAATCATTTTCTCATCGTGTAGAGATCGGGTTAGGATCAAGATTCAGGCCAAGATTCGAGCTGAAAATTGAATGCACGTTTTTTGTTCGGTTCCCCTGTCGCTCCATCGTGCAACCCTTTCCACTTCCACTTCCCCCGTCATCGCATTCGTCTTCGGCCGCGTCTTGGGATCTTCCTCTTCGGCTTTGGGTGCTTCTTGTTTTTGTTGCTGCCGCATGAAATATTGCCCCGAGGGGCGGTTCAATTTTGATGCATTTACAACGTTCAGGGTGTTGGTAATTATAGGGACTTTATGTCTGGAAGTTTCCTTTATGATAGGGTTTTTACTCTCAGGTTTCTTTCTTCAGCCGTTCTTGTTGCTGTTGTATTGCTTTTGATTGCTGAATTAAGTCGGTCGAATTGTTTTTTTTTTGTTTTTTTGTAGGCTTTGGGATACGCCCGTAACCTGAAGGTGAAGGTAGAAACTGAAATCCATATGTACTCGTATGCAGGACAGATATGTATTCTGTGGGAGGAGGGAATACCCCAATTGAATCGAATGCTCAGTTGCGGCGGAAAGAGAATGGCAAGCAATTTAATGAATGCTGATCAAATGGAATACAACTTTTTAGCACGGATCGCACGTTTCATATGCATTAATTGTGGGTGTCAAAAATAATATTCTTTTATATTCTTAACATTTTAAATAATCAGATTTCATTTTTTTTTTCTATTTTTTATTCTAGAACTGATTTATGCTCAATGAATCCTCGAATTCTGCATATTTTACAATACCAGAATCATTTGTTTGAATGCGCGCCAAGTATTCGTTCACTTTTAACACTTTGAAAATATCGATATCGTTGAATGATGATTTTCGTAGCTGCCATTATAATATATTTTAATGCCAAAGCTGGCCCTAAAATGTTTGTTAAAAAAATAAATGAATATGAATGAATATGTTCATATGCAGTCACAATACAAGTGTATTTAAATCGCCCGCCAACAATTGGCCCTTTACCACACTGAAAATAATCGTTTTTCAATCGAAATGTCGCAGAATCATCAATATGATCGAGATTTGATTTTGAAAATATGTAGAATTGGTTCTGCTAATATTGATTTTCAATTTATTAAGCAAAATAAAGATTTTACAGTTAATTGAAAATATATGAGTAATTGGTCATGACAGCGATAGCGAGAAATCTATCGAAGCATAGCCATTTTCCTATGCAAAAACTCCAGAACTGGCTAGTTCCTTAATTTCTCAATGACGTGCTGGGTGTAGGCAGCCACAAAATTGGCCATTTCTGCATACATCTGATAGGAATGATGCCTCATGGGCGCCATCCCATAGCCCCTGTCCGGTGGAGACGCAAGTGGCACTTGTGGTGGAGGCGCCGGTGGGTCAGCAGCAGCAGCAAGAGGAGGAGGAGCAGAAATGTGGTGCACAGTCTGCTGCTCTCGGGGCACAAGCGACAGGCAGATGTCCCCGACCTGCAATTGCTGACACTTAAGCTCGTACAGCTGGAACGACAATTGCGGATTGCAGGAGGCCCAGCCCTGGCCATAGACGAACAACGGATGACCCGGCAGCACATCCATATTGACCTGCAAGCAGGAAGTGAAAGTGGAAGTAGAACCCTAGAGGCCACAGATTTCAATTGAGGCGCCAGTGCGACAGGAGTGCTCTCACCTTGGAGTGTCGTGTGTCGTAGCTAAACGTGATGGTGACATGCGAGGAGGTGGACAAGTGTCCCCTGTCAATCCGTACGACCGTGGCCTCTCTCAGATCGAAGAGCTGGCTGCGCAACGCCGATTGAATGAAGTCCTCTGTGCGAATGTCCTCCACACGACGCATCGCTCCATTGGATAGCTCAATGTAGGAGCCCTTCCTGAAGCAGCCACTGGACTCCACGTGACTACAACGGATCAATCAATCAATCACTCGAGAAACTCACACAAGAAAAGATATGCTTACTTGGTGGCCGGTGCCACATGCGGCTGCGTCGGCTGCTGTGGCATCTTGAATGGTTTGTAGCCGTGATTGGGCGCAAATTCCATTTGAATCTGCATAGCTATGATGTATGGTATAATGACAACCTGTCCGTTGGAGGGTAAACTATGAACTGATGGCATCGGTGCTCGATCAGGCCATTGATATTCATTCAGTCGAGAGCGTGTTTTCCATGGAATTTCCAAAGAATGTGTCGCCACCGCCATACACACCGAATGTGACACTGTCTGTTGCACTTACCTGGTTTATGACTGTCGGCAGCCCGCGCGATATTCCTGCCATAATCTGCTCATGGCGACAGGTACGCGGCATCCCACTGTATCGGAGACAATGGCACGGCTTCGGCATCGGCGTCGGTTCAGCGTTGTACCTAGGATCGGTCGGTTTCCACTTAATAGTTTGAGCCATTGTTTGGCTCGCTTCGAAGATGCGGCGCCGAGCTGGCTGTTGCGCCAGGCGCCTTGTAGTCTCGCACATCCCATCCCTCCTTCTGTCCCATCCCATTCGATCCGATCCCATCTGAACCCATGCAGATTTCTATTGAATATTCTATTCAATTATTCAAGTATATTCTAGTTTTTCGTTCATTTAGTTTTACGCTTTCGCTTGGCAGACGAGGAGTATGTGGCTGTGGCCTTGGGAGCAGCCACCTTTGGCCAGCTGACGCCCATGGCATAAAGATAGTAGCGCCCAAAAAAGTAGACCACCCCGAGGGCCGAGTATGTGGACGTCAATAGCAGCGGCATGAAGGGCAGTCGGATGTGGAGGCCCAGCAATCGGCTGATAATGTGCTCGTACAGGGGTATGGCTATGAATCCTAGCATATATGCCCACTCCAGCCAATGGAAGCCTTTGAAGCCCGAAAAAATGCGATAAAGCTGGCCATAGAGCATGGCCATGTACGACAAGTAAAGGGAATAGCGCGGCACGTACAAGTCAATGTCGAAGAGCAACGGGAACAGCGAAAAGTACCCGGCAATGCCCAGGATGTAGGCATACCTGGCATCCTCACGGTTCACCAAGGTCAGCAGGCTGTGGCGGACAAACAGAACAAAACTCATTTTTAGCCGCAATACGTACGCATTCAGGCACTCACCTTAGAGGTATCAGGCACATTAGTATGGCCTTTTCGTGGACATGCCAGCCGAACATGAACGAGGAGCAGGCACACAGTACCACAGCTCGTAGGAACATTAGGGGGCTTTGCCTGCGATGTTTACAAATCGAAAATTATGCAAAAAGACCAAGTCAAAAATCAAAAGTAAAGCTTACTTCTTGGAGCTCTTGAAGAGCTTCAGCAGAATCGGCAGCATAAAGACGATGGTCAGACCAAAAGTCATGGAAGGTGTAATAGTCGGCAGAACGGAGTGATCGATCTGCTGGACCAGGCCCGATGTGGTCGATGGTCCTGCACTGGCTGTCTTTAGCACATTGGCGGCCACCTTGTCAGCGGTGTTGTAGAGCGCCCATATGTTGGGGGCCCAGTAGGCGTGAGTGAGTCCCCGATTGAAGGGGAACAGGCGGGACATAATCTGCGGCAGCTGATTCCAGAATGGGCCGAAGGAGACCACAAATGGCGCCAGTCCGACGGCCAACAGCTTGAAGAGGGATCTCCAAAAGGAGCCACCCTTTACGTTGGCCTGCTCCAGGCAGTAGAATCGCAGAAGGTATACGCCAAAAGGCGGCGCCAAGTACAGGAAGATGTGCTTAAAGTTCAGCAGGACAGCAAAGGTGAAGGCGCTCCAGAGGAATCGCTGGCGTATCAATGCACTTATGCTCAGCAGGAGTATGCCGAACATGAAGCCATTGTACTGGAAGTGAATGTGATCTACGAAGATGAGGCCCACATTGAGGAGCAGCAGCAGGGAGCCGGCAAAGAACTGCTGGCTGCCTTTGACTACGCCCAAGGCGCTCAGGCAACTGCGCACGCCCAGGACATAGATCAGGTCCATGGCCGTCACCGACAGTCGTTGAAAGTACAATGTGGCCTTTGACTCATAGTTGAGGTTCTCCACAATCAGCATCCGGGGATCGACGAATCTCGCCACCTGCGAGAGCAGCCATTCGAAATACGCAAAGAACGGGGGATAGTCCAGCGTCCACTCGCTTGTGTCTTCAAAATACCAGCGATTCAGAGGCAGGCTATGAGTGATGGCCAGCCAATTGCGGTGCACCTCAAAATCCGTGGAATGGCTGCAAAAGCACAAGTGGATCAGATGGTTGTGTTATGAGGAGACCGGACGTCTTTGGGGACTGGCTCTTCTTTGGCTCTGGCTCTGGGCCACGCACTTACTTGGCGGGAATGAGTAGTATTTTGAGTCCTGTGCTGATCCCCACCAGTTGCCAAAAGCAATCCTTCTTGAGAATCATAGGATTAGGATTCATACTGGATTTTAGTGATGTAAAATAACATCGTTGCCCAATGCATGTTTTTTTGCCGATGTTTACCGATGTTAAATATCAGCAGTGGACTTATCGACCCTCCGAAATATACCAAAATAGACCGTATAATTTTCAAAATGTTCCCCGTTTTTGATCTTCCGTCGAATATTACCATCTATATAGAAAATTTAGCCATGCCCACATAATTGTATGCGATTGATGAATCAATTTCCTACTTAACTGGTCCATTCTAAATACTTGCTTTTATTGGATTTCTATGTACCGTTGAAAATTAAATTTAATAAGAAGTATTCAAAACGGTCACCTGAATATTTTTCAGAATACTGATAACTGATAAGCCACCGCAGACTACACATACCGCACCAGGGCTGGAGACAGTATTGTGTTATCGAAAGTGCTAGACCATGGAGGGCGCATCGGATCCGATTTGCATTTTGTCTTTCATGTTATTTCCCCTCTTCGCAGCAAATTTAGCAAAGTCTATAGTCATACGCTTACAACTGCCTTCGTTCCAGAAGATGCCTGAGATTTATTGACTCCAAATTGAGTTCAGTTTCAGAACTGAAGAATACCCACAATGATGACGCTTCTATCGATAAGGCCACTATTGATAGAAAAACAAATAATATATCGATAGGACCATCGATAGTTTTGCAGCTCAGTGTATGTACGCATTTGCGAATTAATAGCATCAAATTAAATAAATAATCTGAGCTTGAGCCGGTCGCTGAAGCCCACCAATTGCCGCCGCCGCATAGCAGAACACGTGAGCTACATTGGCCATGTACGCCACCAACAATGGCGGCACGAATAAGGCGCCAAACAGGTACGTTTCTTGCCCACCCCCAAACCCCTCCCCACCTTCGGACGCTTTACAAATAATAAAATTGATGGGTTTTGTTTTGTGTTTCTTCCTAGCAGCAATGCCGCCACCACGCTGTTCGACAACACAATCACCGTGACACCGATCAAGGTGGATTTAAGCGGGCCCATGGCGCAGGCCTACGCAGCGGGCAAGGTAACGACGGGTGTTCAGCGACGAACGCCCAACGCTGTGGTTGTCACATCCCAACAGCAACTTCCCCCACAACAACAACAGCAGCAGCAGCAACAACAACAACAACAGCAGCAGCAGCTTCAACAATCGGCCACGGCCACGCTGACGATGCCAATGCAGGCAACGCTGGTGTCTAGCGCTTGCACCATTGTGAATCCCGGAATGACGATGACGGTCAGTGCCAGTCCCAGTCCCAGCACGCCCAAAGAGAAGGCCACAAAGGCGACACGGGCGCAAGTGGCCCGCAAGCCGCCGCCGACCATCGACAACTTCTGGCCGAATATTGTGAGTGAGGTTCATGGAATCGGGCAGGTCGATGCCAAGCATCAGGTTCTGCCCTTGGCGCGCATCAAGAAGATCATGAAGCTGGACGAAAACGCCAAAATGATAGCGGGCGAGGCACCGCTGCTCTTTGCCAAGGCCTGCGAGTACTTCATCCAGGAGCTGACCATGCACGCCTGGGTGCACACCGAGGAGAGTCGCCGGCGCACGCTGCAGCGCTCGGACATCGCCCAGGCCATAGCCAATTACGATCAGTTCGACTTCCTCATCGACATAGTGCCGCGGGAGGAGATCAAGCCATCGTCGGCGCAGAAGGGCAAAGATTCAATGGGAGCGTGCTCAACAACGGGAATGGCCGGCTCCGTTACGGGCAGTTCCGTCAACCACAGCTCCTCGTCCGCCGCCACAGCCACGGCCACGAGCAACTTCAGCTTGGGCGGCACCACTGTACCTTCTGCCACGGCCACCCTAAAGATGGACACCAGCAGCGCTGCCACCGCAGCCGAGGTACTCGGCTTCAGCACCGTCAATCAGGACATTTTCACCGCCCAACTGCAGCAGCATCAACACCAGCAGCAGCAACAGCAGCAGCAGCAGCAGCATCAACCCCAGCATGTGCAGATCATCCAGCAGGCCGGAGGACATGCGGGCGGGCAGCAGCTGCAGTACTTCATTGCACTGCCGGGGCAACAGGGGACGCAGCTGGTCCAGCAAGTGCAGCAGGTGCAGCAGCAGCCAGCCCAGAATCACTTGTCCCAGAGTCTTGGCCTCAATATTGTGGCCGCCCAGCAGCCCACACAGCAGCTGATCCTCACCACCGGCCCCAATGGGCAGCTGACCGCCACTCCGGCACCCACAACGGCAGCCCAGCAGCAAACAGCCCTGCTCCAGAATCTCGCCCAGCAGCATCACCAACAGCAACAGCAACAACAACAACAGCAGCAGCAAATTCAGATAATTCAGCAGGTGGTGGGCCCAACGGGAGAGATAACCAATGTACCAGTAAGTCATCAAAAAAAAAATATATCCAACTTCGAAATTCTGACAGATGCTGCCATGTTTTCCCTTTCAGATTGCTATCACTGCGAGCCACTTGCAGCTGCTGCGACTGCAGATGCAGCAACAGCAACAACAGCAGCAGCAGCAACAACAGCAGCAACAAGTCGCCGCTGCTGCACAGTTGGCTGGGCAGCAGCATGGCCAACAGCAGCAGGTGATCATACCCACGCAGCTGCTGACGGCACAGCAGCTCATCCAGCTGGGGGCCACGCCCGCGGGCACAGCCACCCACCAGCAGCAGCAGCATCATCATCAGCAGCAGCAGCAGCAGCAGCATCACCACCACCAGCAGCAGCATCAGATTCAGGTGCAAGTACAGCAACAACAGCATGTAAATCTGAGCCAGAGCAACTCCAGCACCGTCACCAATGCCACGCCCATATACATTAACTCGACGGTATCGAGTGCCCAGACGGCAACGCAATCGCAACAGCAGCAGCAAACGCAGGCGCAGACGATCACCACAATGTCCACGGATCGGACGCTGACTGGAGGGTTTCGGTAAAAGCTCAGAGCTGCGTCTATGTCTCCCCACCCCCTCCAAAGAGAAAGAGATTTAGAGGAGAGGCTTAGTTTTTGGATTTTGGACAACTAGCAATCATATCGAAGCATCGGGAGGCATTGGCATTGGCATCGGCAATGGCAATGGCATTGATTGCGCCATTCCCTGTCATCCAGCACAATGTATATTATAAATATTTAGTTCATATCGCAGAGGAGAGTAGAGTAGAGTATAGGAGAAGATTATACATAGATATTTTTTAGGTTTTAGGTAAGATTCTTCAGTGTAGAAATGATTTCGGATTTGAATTTATACGTATACCCTTGTAGTTGAGGGTATTCTGATGTTTACAATCACGGAGAAGGATATATACATATATATATAAGCTTGATCAGCACGAATAGCCGTGTGTGTATATATAGCACTATACCCGTCTGTCCGTTTGACCTCTTTCTATGCAAACTAGTCACTTACTTTTGTAGCTACAACTTTTTACTGGATTGGAATTAGAATTGGAATCGGAATCTGACCCATAGAGCATCTCGCGAGGATACCAAAGTAAAGTGCTTTGCTGCCGCTACACTTACAATGTAAATCAGTGTGATCCACGCCGACAACCGAACGGAAGCATACATCCTTTCAGTGGCTAGCGCCCAGATCATGTTACTATATCGTCAAGTCTTTACCATCAACTGGCCCAAGCGATGACAACATCGAACGAAGAAACGACCGAGGAGTGCATGACAAATTGTATATTTCTAAAGATAAGGCACAGGCGGCGAACGATCCATCTGCAAGGGTATCCGAAAGCTTCGGGGCCACCGAAGGTAGCACCTTCCTTTCTTCCTTCCTTCCTTTCTTGTTAATATAAACACCCGAAGACACGCTAGTCTCAAGTCCAGAATAATGCCAAAACGGATGAGATATTGTGGACTGCTTCGGGAATGCCACATTTGGCTGCAGGTTTCACCAACTCCTCCAACCACCAAACACACATCCACCATTTTAAAGCTAGCACTTAGAGACGCAGCCGAGGATGCCCCCTACAGTGGCACACAGCCGAAGTGATGGAATTCGGCGATGGTGTGCCACGGCACACGGGCGTGGGCCGAGCATCCCCGGGTTTATTATGTATTTGTATGTGTAACTAGGATAAGATCTAAAATCAATTATAAGCCACAAGGACTATGTGCCAGATGCGATTCTGTACTATTGTTTCTGCTACTTTCTGGCTAGAATCTTGTTGATGTCCTGGAGCTCGCGGGTGCTCCATGGCTCCAGCGGATCGGGCGGCGACGACGTCTTGCGTCCGTGGGCCGTACGTCCACGTTGCTGACGCCGCTCCTCCTCTTCGCTCTGCTCCGGCGAGACTCTGCAAAGGAAGTAAAAAAGGCTTTGATCAAGGATGCGTGGATCCCAAAATATCACTCACTTGTTCCTTCGACGAACGCGCGCACTCTTGGCCCGACGGGCGGCCTCATCCTGCGATGGCTGGCACTTGCGCAGATGGAACTGCTTCATGGTGGCATGCACCTCATCTGTGGTGGGCAAATCCTCGCTGTCCTGGCCCCCATTGCCGTCCTCGGTCTCCACTTCGGCTTCCTGCTCAATGGTCAGCACCTCCTCGGCGACGGCCTCGTCAAAGTGAAAGCCCTGCAAAAGAAATGCCCACTAGGCTTCTAAAAATCTACGATACTCATTTGCGAATCCCTACCGTGCTCACGTCCAGTCCGGGCGGTGCCCAGACGGAAGACATGCTCTGAAACTGCCCGTGACTGTTCCCATCGAAGCCCATCGTGTCGTGCTCCCGCCGTATGTCCGCCTTGGACAGAGCGTTGTGTGTCCGCTTTGCCAGCGAGAGCTTTCCAAGAATGGGCCCCCCACTGTCGCTCTCCTCCGTCTCCACCTCGGCCAGCATGGCCATGAACTCCTCAAGCTTCTTGGGATCCACAACGTCCTTGGGGTCCTGGAACAGATTGCCCAGTGTGGTCATGGGCAAAGGTATGGCCACCGCAGGCATGGCAGCAGCAGCATCAGCAGGCAAAGATGTGACTGCAGCAGCAGCAGCCACTGGAACCGGAGCGGCTATGGGGGCTATCGGCGCCACGTTAGGCACGTTCATGTCGATCTGCGGCTGTGATTGCGAGGGCGGATGCGGCTGTGTCTTCATTGTCTGCTCGACCAGATCGAAGGCCTTGTTGGCCAGCTGCTGCAGTCCGGCAAAGTAATGGGGATCATGGGTCTCTGGCCGCTCGTCCGACATCATGATAAGCTCCCGAAAGGGATCCGGGACCGGTGGAGCAGACTCCTTTCCACCGCCCAGGGTGGCCGCTGTGCGCAGCTGCACGCCATTGCTGGATGCCGGATTGTTGGCGAAGGTGAGCATGTCCATGGCATTGGTGAAGTCCGAGTCCGTGTGCATGGTGTTGTAGGGATCCTTTAGCTTCTGCTTGGTGACCTTGACGGGGCTGGAGATGGAGGCGCGTCCCCACATGAGCCGACGCATCTCCTCACCGGTCATGCCGCGCTTCTTCAAAGCCGTAAGCGTGACACGTCCCACACGCTACGCTTCCCGTGAAAAGATTTCGATTTAGACAGAAAAGACGACGGATCCATTGCACTCCACTCACCTTCCAATTGGAAACGGCTCCCTTCCGTTGCTTGGCCCGCGTCTTGCTCTTGCTCTTGATGACCATAACGCCGCGCACCTCGAACCCCGAGTCATCCGACGGCCCCAGCGGAATGGAGTAGGCCTCCAGGTAGCCCTTGGCATCCGCTTGGGGCACGGCCCGCTCCAGGGTGACAACGATCTTGGCCCATTGCTTCATCCACTCCTTCTCGGACTGTTCGATCACCGTCACGTAGGTGTTGCCCATCATGGCGATCAGCATGTTTAGCAGCAGGATGGGCACAAATATCATGAAGATCACGAACACGGTTTTCGAGAGATTCGGATATGTGGTCTGATTGAGATCTGGATACTGGATGGAGGAGAAAATATTAATGGAGTTGACTAGAGAATAATTATGCTTGAAACCAACATTGTAGTCCCCCAAAGTGGTTTGAAAGAGGGCCATCCAGGTGCTGGTGTAGGTATTGAACATCGTCGACTGCACCTGGGGATGCCCCTTGTAGAGGAAGTAGAAGGCCTGCGAGAATCCACACAGAACAATGCAGTAGATAATGCCGAAGGTGAACATGTCGCCGGTTATCATCGAGTAGATCATGGTCACAAACGGCCCGGTCAAACGGATGGCTCTAATAGGAGTCGATAGCAAATTACAGATTAGATCTTCCATCTTTTGCATCGTATTCGTCACACTCACCCGGCAAAAAACATGAGCAAAAACCAAGAGCCGGGCACCGCAAATATCAGTATGGCCTCCTCGGTGTCGGTGTCGCCAATCAGGCGGAAGGGAATGCAGGCCAGGATCAGTAGGTTGGAGAACAGAAAGATGGCCTTGGCCGGAGCATGTGACTGCCAAAACGAATGGAATGGAATGATGAATAAACAAGGGTAGAGGCTGGAAGGCTGGAGGGTGCACCTACCAGCTGCTTGAGAAAGGCCGATAATCCCTGGTTCTTGATCTCGTCGCCCTGCTGGAAGACCACGTAGCTGAGGACACCCGCAATGGTGGCCAATTCGGCGCAATATCTGGCCACCGTCTGGGCATTGTAGTCATCGCTGGCTTCCGCGGTTCCTCCAGGCTCAGCTCGATCCTGAAGAGCGGCCGCAGAAGCGGCCAGAGCGGACTCCGACTCCTCCTCGGGCTCGCCCTCGTGGGCGGGACGCAGATAAACGGAGACGGACAGGCAGAGCAGATGCGTGGATAGGATGAGCAGGCGCTTGAGGAACTGGTTCTGGGCAAAGGTCTTCCATTTCTCCTCAAGCAGACGTTGAATGATACCACCGTCCAGCATGTCCAAATGCTCCGGCTTGGTGCCATTCAGAATGATGAACAAAGCGGAGTTCCAATCTAAAGGGAGGCACCATTAATGAAGAGAATGAAGAGTGGTCGCTCTGCACACTTACTCGTCCGACCGTCGGGCAGGAGTGTGTCCAGCGCATTCAGTGGATAGCCAGAGCAGGTGATGTTGCTATAGCGCCAAAACTCGCGCGCCGAGAGCTCCAACATCTCGCGAAAGACCTCGGCCCGGCCCAGCTTGCAGGCGAGGGTGAGGGGTGTGAGCCCCGTCTGATTGACGATGCCGTTCTTGGCGGGGGTCTTCGGATGGCGCAGGGCATAGCCGAACATGTCCAGCTTGTCGCAGACAACGACCATGTGCAGGATCATGTTGCCGAACGAGTCCTGGGCATCCGGATCGGCACCACAGTCCACCAGCAGGTTGTAGACACTCTCGTTGGCACAGCAGGCGGCCCAGGCCAGCGGGTATTCCCCCATGTAGGCCAGTCCCTCGTAGTCGGTGCTCTTGGCGGGATTCATGCGCTGCTGGTCGCGCGGCAGAAAGAAGCTGCCGATGGCCCGCTGATTGATGTCCGCCCCCGCCTCGATGAGGTCTGCCACCAGCTCGTTGTTGCTGTAGGCAATCGACAGATGCAGGGCACTGGCCCCCAGATACTCCTCGCCCTCCATCACGTCCAGCGCCAGGTTGGGAAAGACGCGCAGCAGGACCCGGGCCAGCTTGGTGTGGATCTTCGAGTCGCAGATGATCAGAACGTGGAGCAGACTCTCCCCCAGGGCGCCGCGGTACTGCATCTGCCAGCAGGCCTTGTGGTCCTCCCACTTGCCGAGCGGATCGTGTATCGAGAGCGACGCCTCAATGGGTATGGTCACCTCCGTGTGGTCGCGGTATTTCCAGCGCAGGAACTCCGCTCTATTGATCACCTGCCCCTTGCCATCGTTGTACATGAAAACACCGAACTGTTCACGGATCAGCTGCTCCACGGCGACAAGGCCGCCCGAGTTGATGGCATCGATCAGGTCTCCGCCTGAAATAGGACACATAGTGGTCTAGGCTCAGTGCATCCTGCGATGGCCGAATGACACTCACCCCGCTTGTAGTCGGCCAGCTTGTACAGAAGGCACTTGCAGGCCGTGGCCGAGGACTGAGAGATGACCGCATCCAGGATGGCACCCGGCTTCATCTCCGGCGCCTTCTTCCTCAGGCATTTCTTCAGCAGGAACTTCATCGATGCCAGCAATTCATCTGCGATTCTGACTGCTGCTTTCGCTGTCCTCCAATTTCAGGGGAAAACTTTTGTTTGTTCGATGCCCTTGGAGGGGCAACGAGAGACGGACACCGTCGTCCTGGCAACCTACCCAGGGCCAAGCGGAACCTTTGTGCGGAGCCAAGAACCAATGAGCCCCCTAGTAGGTAGTATTCTTTATATAATCGAAAAATCCGCCCTAAAGCAATCAGGATATAATTTTATTGAAGCAATCGCCCCATTTTTATATAATTTTATTGAATGAATCAATGGCGCCCATTGTTGATCAAGGATCAGTGATAGATTTCGTATGATTGACGTGATTGACGATTATGATGCATAAATTCATGCATCGGGTTTTCAGAAATGAAGCGTCAAATACTACGATCCATTTCCTTGATGCATGATGCATTGCTAGTGGAGTACATCGATAGACGATATGTCGTTTAGAATACGCGATAATAAGAAGTAAACGAATCCAAAATAGTAAGAAATCATGTAGAACGGGGAATCATTCCAATTTGAATTGCCAGTATCGATAGGTTCGTAGCCGATTATATTTGCGATGGGCATTCCCCAGCACTCAAAAGTTGATGGTTAACGTGATACCTGATACCGATACATGATACATTGTGGTTCCAAAGCTGGTGGATCGAAAGTTACTGATGGATTTTCTTGGGTTTTGAATTATATTTTGTAGTTTTTTGTATTTGTTTTTATTGAATTATGTATATAAATATATTTTTGCCTTCATTATTATTATTAATAATATTATAATTATTGCTTAGGGCTAGAGTATTGGATTTTAATGGGGGTTTAGTGGATATATATAATCGTACTGTAAAATAAATTGTATAAATAATGTGTATGCTTTTTATTCGCATTTGCATTTTGCATTTTCATTTCTGATTCCCTTTGCTGCTGCTGCTGCTGCTGCTACTACCTTCTTGCACCTGCCACAATCACTTCTCTCGAGTCGTGAGTCGTGTCCCATTGCCGACATTCATTCTCATATCATATTTCGCTTCAAGTTTTATATTTGTATATTTATATAGATATAAATAGTAATAGAAATAAGAGAGAGACGTAGAGAATCGAAAGAAGTTTCCTAAATATATATATACGCTTGTAAATATGTGTGTGTGTTTATCGTAATCGAATATGGCTAATAAATACAAAATGCTTGCATGGGATACTGGGGATTCTATGGGTATCTAGGCTTAGGTTTAGGTTTACTTCATATCCCATCCGTTCTTCAATACAAAATATCATTTATAATCATATCAAATGGAGCTCCGTGTTCCCCCCGCCCGTCCCCCTCCTGCTCTGTGTAGAACCCTCTGTAGAGAGCTCTGAGCGTGGCCGAACGATCATCATCATCATCATGTGAGTGGAGGCCGGAGATCAGAATGTTCAGTGTTTTTGAATACTTTGTGAGTCATTTGTTCAGTCGTTCCATAGGGTTTTACGAGTTAAATGCAACTTGGACTTTCGAATTGGAATTGTTTCAGCATTTTGGGGCAGCATTAATCTTTGCGACATGCGTCGTACGTACATATACGTATACAGTATACATATGTGTATGCCTATAGCTATTTTATGTGTATATCTGTTAATAGAACCTTTATCAGTTAGCACACTAGGCGGCTAGCACAATATTGCCCATTACCCGAGAATTTATACGTTGGTCTGCTGCCTGTCTTTGCTCAGATCTTCTTCTCTTCTGTTTTCTTCTGTTCTGTTCGAGTGTCTATTGTTGGAGTGTGTGAGTGTGTGTGTTTGGTTTTCAGTCGTTGTTTCAGCCATGTGGGGAGTTGTTGGCCTTTTAGTTACGATTGGTATACAAAATATATCAATATATATATATATATATGTGTGTGTGTGTATGTCATGTTTGTATAATATATGTATGTATGTATATACTATGTTCTATTGCAAGTACAAAAATTCTATTGCCTTCCTATTTCCCCCTCCGAAGGATATTACACACAAAATGTTTATGGCAACTCGTTTTTTGTTTTGTTTTGTTTTGTTTGTTTGTGAATCATATGGTAGGGAGATGGCCAGATTGATGTACGCAATACATAGTATATCTGTATGTACGTATAATATCTGGGTACTATCTATCTGGCTCATCTGTTCTTCAAGTCTTTTCGTTATTATTACATTTTGGAATCGTACAATTTTCGAGTTCATTCATCGTTTTCTTTGATTCTGTGATTACAATGTTTGATTTTGTCATTTTAGTTTCGCTTTCTCTCTTTTTTTTTTTTGTTTGTTAAATTAATTGTCTTTACGCATATGAAACGTATCCATTATCATAATCATTATCATTATATCTTTATCAGCAATTATTACAGTTAAAGTCTATATGTTGTATTTTTGTGGGGGGTTGTGGGGAATGGTTTAAGGAGGATCGATGGAGCAAAGACTAGACAGAAAATGACAAAGAAAGAGACAGACAAACTCTCTCGTTCGCACACACATACACATACACATACATACATAAGAAAGAGAGAGAGAGAGAGAGAGAGGGAGAAATATACTCGAGGAAAGGAGTCCTTATAAAAATACGTTAGTATATGGCCACATAAAAACATAAAAAACAAACACAAACACAAACTTAAGGACGCGAAAACTCAGGAGGGACTCCATTAAGTGTAAATGATTATGAATTATAAGTCATTTGAACGGGCTAAACTAATTTTGGACTAACTACTTAAATATTGTAATTGTAGCACACGTACACATACAAAATAAACACATCGATAATTACACATAAATTTTGTATTTTAAACAAACACAAAAAACGAACCGTAATAAACCGAATAAAAACATTGCTTACGATCAGTAATTTGGCAATTCTTGAGCAACTGCAGGGCGAGGAGAGAGATGAGGATACGGAATGGAAAGGAAAGGAAACCCAAGGGAACGGAACAGTCTGTCCTTTCCTCCCCTTTTACAACATACATACACATATATATGTACATACATATACTGCACGGATTGGAGGACCTTTTTATGGCCATGATGGTGTGGATTAGTTTTAGCTTTCGGCTTGTCTACGAGAGTTGTATTATTTGCTGTTTGCTGTTTGCTGCTGCTGCTGCTGCTGCTGTCGCTGTAAAGCCGCTTCATGTCCTGTCAATATATATATATTAAAATTACTCCCAATCTCGTTTCTGTGGCTGTTTCTGTTGCTGCTACTCCTGCCACTCGTTCTCGTCCACACCCTCCATATCGTCTTGCTCCAGTTTTGTGGTGTACTCCATGCGCGCACTCACCGATTTCTGGATCTGCAAGTCGTTTAAAATGTTGAGTTAATGAGTCCCAACAACATTTTGTGCGGGTTGTTGTGGGGCTATACCTCTTGCTGTTTGTTAATCTCGTACTCTGACTTTTGGCCAAGTTGAGCGTGCTGCTCCAACGATTTCTTTGTATGCTGCACTGGCACTTGTTGTATTGAAGACACTGCAACACAGGGATAACAGAGAGAAGATGAGCAAGAGTTAAGAGCAGGGCACAGGGCGCAGGGCTCAGGGCAAAAAGGACAAAGGTAGGTTCGACTACTCACGGGTCTCCATGCCCTCCGGCTTGAGGCTGATTTTGGGAGCCGCCTTGTCATTGTTGCTGGCAAACCAATCATCGGCACTGAGCGTGGCGCTCCAGGTGATGCGCGTGGGTGGAAAGAGGTCGTCTTGGAACAGCTCGCTCTGCAAAAAACACACACACGAGAATTAGGTTGGAGGTTGAAGGTGTAACACAGGCTGGCCTTGACACCCACCTTGATCCGTGGCACTGTGAAGCTGAGCGGCTCGATGGTCGTGTTGGTCAGCCTGTAGGCCTTGGAGAATTCCACGCTGGCCACATCGCAGTGGTTCTTGGTGAGGAAGCTGAGGCCCTGGTGCAGCGATGTGCAACGATGATGCGACAGCGGGCAGATGTACGGCTCCTCGTCGGTGATCTCATAGCAATAGATGGTCGAATCGCCCTTGCCCGTGACGAACAGTGTGGAGCTGTCCTCGTCGTAGAAGGGGATCAGTATCGATGGCGACACATCCAGACTGGCCGTGTTCAGAGGGGCCGTCAATTTTTGGGCATTATACACGCTGATCTGTCGCTCCGAGACCCTGTAGAATGTATTTAAATGAGAATAGGCGAATGGAAATGGGAAATGGGAATGATATATCGTACTTATCGAATCCAGTGCAGACAATGTACTGTCCCTCGACGGCCCAGGTGATGCGAGCCCCTCGGGTGCCCACGGGTCCGTTGCCCTCGCGTATGGGCATCTCCGACTTGCGTGGATTGTAGACGCGTATCTTGCCATCCTTGCAAACGGTGGCCCCCAGGCGGCCGCATGGGCTCCAGGCAAAGTCGAATATCTGGTCCGAGTGGCCCGTCAGCGCGCATTTCTCGGTCATGGTGCGCAAGTCCCAGAGCTTGATGGTCATGTCGTAGCTGGCGGTGAGCAAAACGTCGGCGGCCAGCGGGTGGAAGCGGATGAAGTAGATCTTGTCGAGGTGGGCGGTCAGTTCGCCGGCGGGCGTGTTTGTTGGCTCGCTGAGGCCGCCCTCGGCTATGTGCCACAGCTTGACGATGCCATCGTCACATGCGACGGCCAGGCGCTGGGCATCGAACGGATCCCACTGGAAGTCCATGATGTTGCTGCCATTCACCAGCGAGGGAATGACACCGTCGGGCAGACGGCCTGGGCGACTCAGCTCGAAGATCGCTATCTTACCGCCGGGCCCCGACAGCGGCACTGCCACACGCTCGTGATTGGCGTGGAAGCCATTGCATTCGCCCGGTATCTGGCGGCTCAAGTTGCGCAAGTTCTCGATGTGTGTGGACTTGTGGCCGGGCGTGCCCTTCAGGTGCCGGAATTTGGACACCTTGCCGAATACGGTCGAGGTGCGTTTGGTCGAGGCGGCACTGAAGGCAGCCTCCGTGGCGGATTTCTTGAGGCCAGCGGCATTGGC